ATTTTGCCAAATTTGAAAACACGAACGAAGATGCGGAATCTGACGACGGCTCGGTGGGCCAGAAAATTCTAGAAGTTCAAAAGGTCAATCGACCTCCGATGAATCAGGTAAAAAAATCCGTTAGAATACCGTCATATAAACATTTCAAGGAAGAGTTCGATGAGCGATTTGCATACGCAAAACCGGCAGGCGACAGCCAGCTGAAGCGGTCGGCAAAGAAGTTCTTCAGGAGGTAATATTTTGACGGTGTGTGTGGTTCTCTAGCGTACTGTCGGTTACGTGGCTTTAACGGTACACGCAAGGCAGGGCGTCCCTACCGATTTTAGCCGCAGCCGCAACACCTCACGCGAGAGTTGCGGCGTCGATTTTCGCGAGTTGCGTATCGCGGTTTTCGGCAAAAGCCATAGCGAATCCAGATTCCAAATCCGTAAAATGCCTTGCCAATCCCTTTGAACCCATAATTTCTAGATACACAGCCCCATTCAACTCCTTCTACGCATTCCGGCACTTCCTGGTTTCTACCATCCCAATCCTGGGCTGGCTGCCAAATTACTCATTCCGCGAGGACCTGTTTTACGACATTGTGGGCGGGATAACGCTGGGGATAATGCATATACCACAAGGTACGGTAGTCAGAGCTTAGTTTAAAATCTGTCGAATTTTTCAGGTATCGCCTATGCCGGCTTGGCACAACTTAATCCGGTCTATGGGCTTTATACTTCACTATTCCCTGTTTTGGTCTACATGTGCTTCGGGACTTCGCGACAGTGCTCAATTGGTCGGTTTAATACTTATCCATGTATCGTTTTTAATACGCTAAAAATGCATAATCTTATGAAATGCCCTTTTTTTGAAACCGCATAAGCTCATTCTCTTTCATCATCTCCGTTTCCGGTTTTTCGATTTATTTTGACGCCGTCAAGCCTATCCGATGACAAATTTTCAAAACAGGAAAGGCCAGTAAACCGGAAGTTGCCCGATCAAATAATGATGATAAAAAGCTAAAAAATAACGCTAGAAAAAAACAAACAAAAATATCGTTATTGAAAAATTACACAAAACTTTTTCGAAATACTAGAAATTTGGAGTCCAAAAATTTGTTTAAACCAGGCCTTAAATCATACAAAACCAAAAAGTAGAAAATAGTCGAATTTATTAATTATTTCAGGTTCCTTCGCGGTTGTCGCGCTAATGACGGGCAGTGCTGTGACACAAATCGTCAAAGACCACCCCGAATTTGCCGATCACAAGGAGCACATAACAGCCATGTTATGCATGGAGGCTGGGCTGATCCAGGTGGGACACTTCTCAAGCTACTGTAACCCTCACGAATTTGCAGTTCCTAATCGGCTTTGTCGGCCTCGGCTTTATCACCACCTATTTTTCCGATGAGGTCAGCTTGTTGATTGGCAGGGCGTGTGGAATCTGGAAATTTCTAGGTGGTGAACGGGTTCACGACGGGGGCTTCGATCCATGTGTTTTCGCTACAATTGAAGGACATGTTTGGTATCCATTTGGAGAAAACGAACGGGTTGGCGTACTTGCCGCAGGTGGGGGAATGGACTGAACGCTTCGAAGATCTTGAGTACAGCTACTAGCCAGCTGAAAATTGGCGAAATTCTCAAATTGGAGTCTTATCATATCGTGTAGATGTACGTCGAGCTCATCAAGAAAATCGGACTTGGCCAGACGAACTGGGTCACCTTCGGCGTGGCCATGTCGACCATCGTGTTGCTGCTTATCGGCCGCGAGTTGATCAACCCGACGTTGAAAAAGCGGTGCAAACTTCCGGTCCCGATTCCCTTCGAGTTGATCATGGTGAGCAGCAGTAAAAAAACCGAAAAAACCCATCGAGGCCTAAGCGAGACCCCCAATTACACCCGCAAAATTTGGCAACGTATTAGAAAAAGCTGATGTACTTGATTTGCAGCTTTTATTCAAAGTAGTAAATCTTTTTTCAGGTCATTTTGGGCACGGCTGTTTCGGCCCTTCTCCACTTCCACAGCAAGCACGCCGTGAAAATTGTTAGCGTCATTCCGAGCGAGTAAGTCGCTTTGTTTCCAGTTGACTGTGATCCGCGAACTTACAAGGAGTGCTTTTTTTAGCACTCGGCAAAACCTTACTAGACCTAGCTCCTCCGATAGAGAATTTGATTCTGAACAAGACCCCGTTGTCCTTTTTTGCGGGATGGCTATCCATATTTTTAAAAATTAAAAACTAGTGATTGTCTCTTACCATGGGTAGGGTTCTTACCATGGAAAGCGAGGCTTTCGAGTGCAGTTTTAAATTTTTATAAATCAGGAATAGCCATTCCGCGAAAAAGGACACCGTGGTCTTGTTCACAATCGAATTCTCTATCGGATGAGCTAGGTCTTGTAAGGTTTTGCTGATGACTCAAAAAAGCACTCCTTGTTAGAGTTTGATAGTTACCATGGCTAACATTATAGTCCGGATACCTCAAAGCCCGTATTTGGCAGGGACGAGTAGGTGGCGGATGCAAAAACGCATGAGCTTGAGATACTCGACTTTTTTCGTTTGGTGTGGGATGCAGTGAGCAATAAAATTCATCAGCAAAATCGAAACGCGTTGTGATTCCTGTATTTGGTGTTGCCGGTTTAAAACCCTATTGTTCTAGCTTCCCAGCCCCGGCGCTCCCGCACTTCGAGCTCATGTTCGACCTCATCTCCCCGGCCATCTCCATCGCCGTCGTCAACATTGCCGTCCACATCTCCCTGGCTAAGATGTTCGCAAAGAAGTTTAACTATGAAGTGGACACCACACAGGTAGCATAAACTCTAAAACTTAGTGATACTAAATATTTACTTTGGATTTACTGACTATTTAATATTTATACTAATTAACCTAATATAATTAATTTATTTAGCGAATTATTTGTTAAGATTTACTGAGCTCAGCTTTTAAGGTTAAAGCTAATGTTGGTTTAAGGAATTCTTCGCACTCGGCCTGACCGGGATGCTGTCTGGGTTTTTCCCGGTTTTCCCTGCTGCCTGCTCGATGGCTCGGACCGTTGTGAATGCAAATTCAGGAACGAGAACCTTGGTAACTCCTTCGAACACTGAAAAAAACTTTATAAAATTCAGCTCGCCTCGCTGGTCTCGTCGCTCGTCATCTTGCTAGTGATTCTATTTGCCGGTCCTTGGCTTAGGACCTTGCCAATGGTAATGTTTTTATTGGAATTCTAGCCTTAGCAAAAACGCGATGCAATACAGTTCCGAACAATACCGTAGCACAAAGTAGTCAATGGTTCTATTTAGTGTGTCCTCGCCGCAATCATCGCCGTCGCGTTGAAATCGATGTTTGAAAAGTTTGGCCAGCTGCCAGTGCTCTGGAAGGTGTCGAAAATCGATTGCGTAAGCCATGCTTGCATTAAGCAATACTTATAGATGTTCGACTTAATTTACACAATTTATGTGACATTAAATAATATGACAATTTTAGTCAATTTGGGTGGTCGCCTGCCTGGCTACTGTATTTGTTGATGTCACTTACGGATTGATAATTGGGATCTGTTATGCGCTATTTACGACCATCATTCGAGAACAATGGTAGGCGAGACAGCTAAAGAGAGAGAGAGAGAGAGAGAGAGCGAGAGAGAAAGAGAGAGCCAAAGAGAGAGATGTCGATAACTTTAGCTACTTTCCAGGCCTCGCTGGCACGTCCTCGCCAATATTGGAGGCGATTTTGACTTCCGGGATGCCGAACGGTACCGCGATGCCTTCTTCTTCAATGTAAATTCATTCAATTTTGTGGAGGCTATAAAACGGCCATAGAAATTTTCGAAATAATTAAATAAATCTTCAGGGTCTCTGCATCCTCCGCTTCGACGCGCCGCTCCTATTCACAAATGTCAACCGCTTCAAGGCCACGGTAAACAAAATGGTGGCAGCAATGGACAAGCAAATTATGACTTTGGAGACGGTAAGGAATTTTCGGTTTATCGATCTCTAATTTCTTGTGTAGCACGAAGAGAAGCCGATTCGAAGCTTGATCATCGACTGCTCAGGCTTCACGTTTATCGATTTGATGGGGGCGAATATTTTGAAAGAGGTTAGTTCAATGCCTGCGGGAAATTAATTATAAAATTCTAGGTCTACATCGACATGGAACAACGCGGCGTTACAATGTACATTGCAGCAGCGAAAGGTCAGTTTTAGGGGATTTCGATAGCATATATTTTTACTTATGTTCTCGAAAATAAACGCCTCTATTCCAGCTCCACTGCGAGAAATTTTCGAATCGAGTGGCTTCTACAAAGCCGTACCAAAATCCTCATTTTATCCGACAATCTTTGATGCGGTCGCTTTTGCGAGGATGAATCAGAAAGATCTTCTAATGACCGTTGATCATTCGTGAGTTTTTGAAGTCAGAGAGAGAGATGAGTGAGAGAGAGTGAGTGAGACAGATACCGAGATAGACGAACAAACAGAAAACGAGAAGTCCAAATTCTTTTTTTAGACGGACTTCCTCTTACTACTATGCAAATCATGCGGTCAAACTTGATGAGGAAGAACCTGCGGCCCAAGCACCTCTGCGGTCTTTGACTATAGCCTAGTGATGCGTAGTGCACATGTGTTTTCTTTGCCATTTTACGGGTTTTTGCTGTGATCTCCTCGATGCAAAATGACGCGTTTTCTTAGTCACTAATAAAATGAATGGTTCGTATAGAAAACAAAGAAAAGGCAATAAAGCGCATATCAAAAAGACAGGCAGAGGCTACGCACGCTGCGTTGGAGGTTGAAAAGTTGGTCGTTCAGACCCACAGTCGTTCGAGCGTTGGAGCGGTCGTTCAATCTTCGATCCCCACGTACGGACGCATGGCCATGCGATTGATGAAAAGTGTATTGGTGAAGTAGACTGCCATATGGTGTGTTTTTATTAAACGAAAGAAAAAGTTAGCACAATTATGGAAATAAAATACACTGAATAGTTGGGTATAAGAAATTCCTTGTCTTCCATTCGCTTGCGAACGGCCCGGGTTACTTTGGCTTGTTCTTGCTGCCTGGTGGGCGACCAGGACCGCGTTTTGCTGTAATAAAGGTTCGAAGGTATTTAAAGGGGCTCCGAACTGCCAAATCAAAGCCCTTTTGGGAGGGCTCTTTGATTTCTGGCAAATTGCCAGCGGGCGCTACGGGACGAGAGCACCCACTCTTTCGATTTTTGCGCGAAGTTGTTTTTGTCCGGTTTCTTTGTGAAAACACTATAATTCACGGATTCTGAGCTCATTTTTGAAATCCTCACTCAATTTTAAACAGTTTTGGTGTTTTAATCATTAAATTTGGCCCAGAAACAGCCGAGAACGTGATTTCGAGGTGACAACAGGCCATTTCAAATTTGCGAGCTTCCTGGGCTCCTCGGTGTACAGAGGCCTCCGACGTGCAGGGCTCCGATTTTCGGGCCGTCACTCAATTTTTGGCAGTTCGTAGCCCCTTTAAAGCGCACGATCAGGGAGGGGTCGTACACTCGTCCCAACGTATACACCCTATGGACGTAGGGACCGCGCGTGCTGTGACAGGCCATTCCCCTCCTCTGAGGCGTGAGGCGCCCCTCGCCCCCTCGCCAGGTTGTAGCTATGGCTGACTGGTATCCATCCGCGCCTCCCGAGCGGGGACCCGGGTTCGACCCCCGGCCGCGGCGAAAATCTTTGCTTTTTTCCAAAAAACGTCTCTGAACATGCCCTTTCAGCATAAAAAAAATAGTGCTTAAACCTTACGCGGATCCACTTTCGGCTTGTTCTTACTGCCCGGCGGACGACCCGGCCCTCTGCGCACCGGTTCTTCGGGCTCTGAAAAGAATTGTGACAGAAGCTGAGGGAGAGAGTGTGAGAGTGCGAGAGAGTGAGAGAGTGAGGGAGAGCGAGAGTGAGAGACAGCAAGTCCTACCATAACCTCCACCCCAGTTGGCATAAACTGGTTGACATAGGCGCTGCTGCATCATGAACATTTGCAACTGTTCCTGGCGCAACCTAGGATAATTGGCTTCTATTTCTAAGACCCATACTCTCGCTCGCGAAGTTGCATATCGTGGAATTGTTGCATCTAAAAAGCGAAAAATACGTTAGAATATCTCTCTCTCTTTGGCTCTCTCTCTCACTCTCTCTCTCTCTCTCTCTCTCTCGCTCGTTCACTCTATTCCGCCTCCCTCTCTCTCTCTCTCTCTCTCTCCACTTTTACCAACCTGACGCTCCGTGGCTTCACGTCGTTCCCTCTCGAGCCTTTCTTCGGTCTGACGTTTTTCTAGCAGCGCTTGTTCAGCGCGTTTCCGCTCCGCATCGGCGCGCTAAACTCGCGTGTTCTCGTTGACTTCTGGAAACCAACGTCTTTTTCCTGCTTTCGCTGTATCTCGAGCGCTTCCAACTGCTTCCTGGTGGCTTCCCGCTGCTCATGCTGGCGACGCTTCTCGCTATTCTGCGCCCTTATCTCATTGCATTTGTGCTGGAATGGGACTTTGGAGCGTCAAAAAAAGCCAGTCGCACCTCAAATTCCTTTTTCAGTGCCGCCAGGCTAGCCGCTTTTTCTGTCGGACCGCCGATAAGGGGTTGAGCCTCGTAGATCTAGGCGAGATTTTGCGGACCAGTCGTAAAAATCCACTTTTGGGCCTCGGCGCAAATTGTGGCTAGTCTGGCGTTAAGTGTGGTATCAGCGGTGCCATCGCCTCCCATTAGTGCGATGGCCTAAAACAAATTATACTGAGAAACAAAGACAAAGGAAAAATAACGATACTGATAGATGCGAGATTCGACCTTTCGGTGACTAGGCTTCGACAGGTCTCCCAAATTTAGCATGTTTTAGCGTTTCTGTTCGAGACCCAGTCGACGACGAGGTAGATTTTTACACTTGCCGGACCCTTTAAAATGTCGCTAAAACCTACTGTAGGCAGCTGAGCATTGAACTGGGCCATTGCCTTGTCCTTTGCCAAACGTAGACTATAGTCGATCGTAGCCTAACGGAAATGCGTAATTTGAAGCTCCAAATTCAAGTACCTGCAAAGCGTTGTTGACGCAAAGTGCGCTGTTGGCCGTCACGTGGTTGAGTACGTTCTAAAAAGCGGAAGTAGCTTGTCAATCTAAATGTAACAATCTGTGAACCATGAATTTCGCTTCTATTTCCCTTAAAGCTGTCCGATACCTTGACATAAGCTTCAAAAGCTCCTCCGGCTAATTGAGCTCCCAGAACTCGTCGGGGCTCGACATTCGCGACGACGTGGTTGGCGAACTGGCAGAGATGGTTGAGGAAATCCTGGTCGCAATCTGAACGAAAATATGGAGTAGATTTCAGACTGTGATAGCACCTGAAGCTTTAATCGATCCATTAGCTCGCGTAACTGCTCCGCCGGGAGCCGGAACTGTGTAGCATTCAACCTGAACATTTTCTGAGTGAAACATGTGGATTTAAGCAGTATTTTTTGCATTTTGCTCCAATGGTATCGAGCGCAAAAATTCAGATACTGATTTTATACCCTATCAAACGCCTGGAAGACCCCGGAAATCTTGTCCTTCAGGTCGTCGGTGCGGCTGGAGGCGTTCTAAAACGTTAATTTTAATTTGGTTTTCCTGTCCCTGTCAACTTTTATCAAAAGGATTAATACAAACCCGAATTTGCTCCAGATATTGCGGAGCGAATCCGTCACCATCACCGCCCCAGTTACGCATCAGAAAATACAGATGCTAAATCACAGATTTTTGAAAGGGTCGATTGTTTTGCAAACCTGTCCAACTTTCTGTTTCCCCGTCTGGCTCATTTCGACAAAGACGTTCATATCGACGAGATCATGGGCGTTGAGGTAGCCGTTTTTGTTGAAGATCTAAATATAGGACGGATGTGACGGGAAGCATCAATTTCGGGGAGTTCAGTAATTTGTTAAAGAGGAAGGCAAGATTTGACGACCGGCAACATGCTCGGCGAGTTCGATGAGAACATCAAGTTCAGTAGGTTCGGTTTGTAACGATTTGAAACGTGTTTGGAAACCCACAAAATGCGATGACAACATCAGCGAAATCATGAAAATGATGGTGGAGTGCTTTAGCTGACTCTGCGTGTCGAACATCCCTTGGGTATCCAGTAGCAGCACTGCTACCTAATTTTTTATATCGATTAATGGCGCCGAAAAGTGCCATAATCTAAAATACCACGTCCTTACCTCATTACCGGAAGTGTCCTTTCTCACAAAAATCTGATCCCAGACTTGTATCCCAATCGTGTGGCGCTCTGGACCGTTTTTGAACTCGATCCCGGCGGTGCCTCTAAACCATTAAAAACGTTATAATTAGCACATTTGAGAAATAATGAAAATTGAAAACTTGCAACAACTGGATTGCTTACCCAATGGTTTCATCAGGACGGAAGGCGGCCTTTCCGGCTTGCAGGGCTTTTAGCAAGATGTTGTCAAAAAATGACTTTCCCTCGCGAAAACCTCCTACTACCGAGATGACGGCCACCTAAATTTTTTTTGGAGAATTTATGCATTTACTACTACTTTTTAAAGGTACTGAAAAGCGCGAGAATCGACCCGATATTTGACTAGGAGTAGACAAGCCAGCCGGTTCAAACCTGATTAGCGCCGTTAAGAAAAAAAATACATACCTTTCTGCCGGCGATCTGCGACACCAAATTCTTCAGCAAGACCTCGTCAAAATTCGGGCGATCATTCGGATCAATGTGGAAAAGCAGTCGCATCCCCATTTTTAGAGACGAGCTCAGAGGTGTGCTTTTTCCGAAATGGGCGACTGAGCGGGAGACTATGCTGGCTTATCGCCGACTTTTTTGTGGCCAATCCACCCACTTTTGGCACACTTATCAAGGCGGAATAACGGCGCGTAAGTTTCGAGTGCTTACACTGGGTTTGTGCTGATGTTTACACTGCCTTTTGCGAATGGCCTTGAAAAAAGAGCATCATGGCCAAGATCGGGCGTAAGATGCTGCAAGTTCGCTTCCCGGAAAGAATGAGACAGCGAGTGTGTGAGAAACGGAGAGCGAGAGAGAAAGAGAGGGAGAGAGAGAGGGATATAGAGATAGAGAGTGAGATAGTGAAATAGAGAGAGCGGAAGAGAGAGAGAGAGCGAGAGCGAGAGAGAGAGATAGAGGGAGAGAGAAAGAGAGAGAGAGAGAGAGAGAGAGAGAGAGAAAGGGAGTAGTAACTAATAAAGAGCAAGGCATCAACGCATTTATTTAAACCCGTAATATTTATAAGTCACGGTTTACAGCAGATACGTTGTGAAATACACAAAAATCGCGGCATACAACACATTAATAGGCATGAAAATCGTTGAGCCGGCTCGGGTGGGCTGACGCGGTTGGGAGGGATGGCTTCCGCCGTAGTCGGCCCATTTTTTGTCACCGATCTAGTAAAAATTTCGTGTATTTTGAAGATTTTTTTCTACTACATTCCATAGCACTGAAAACTTACATCTTTCAAAACCCCAGCAATCGCAATGGCCGCTTCATTGGAATCTGATGGGTGTTGGAGTTGCTGAATATGGGCGTTCAGCGCGGCGTCAAAGTCGGATTGGGCTGAAAAATTGTTTTAAAGGGACAGCGACAGCAGTTTTATGTCAGGCATAGCTTGAACTTGCCGTTTTTTTCTTTGCACTGATTTTTGTCGATTTCCCTTGAAACTCACACAATCCCGATTTCGCCTCCCCGGACATGTACAACTTCCGGTCGGCGTCCGAGTACAGAAACACGACCAGGTTCTGGCATTGCGGGTCGTTGGCCCACTTCTGTTTGAGCTGATCGGCAAGAGCCTGTGTACCCTAAAGAAAGACATAACTTTTTACTTCTTTTTCCAGATTAGATCCCTTGATTTTAGAATGTTATGTTGTAATATTTTTGCCATGTTTACCTGCTTCATTATGACCATAACGCCATCAATTCCTTGGCGGCTACAATAGGTCTGATCGTGTTTAGCCGATTTTGTGGCAAGTGAAACGAGTGCAGAATGCAGACGATAGCGAAGGGATTCGGAAAAGATCTAAATCTAAGTTTTTCATTTTTTTTTTTTTACTCGATTAGGTATAATGTTAGAAGCTCTAGCTGCCAGCGTCAACAAGTTTTGTACGGCCATCCGATTTGCATAGATTACCATCGATTTGGTTCGACCTTTGAGAGAGAGAGAAGGAGAGAGACAGAAGAGCGAAAAAGAGTGTGACAGAGTGTTGGAGGGGGGAGCGATAGAAAGTGAGAGAGAGGGAGTGAGAGAGACCGAGAGCGAGAGAGAGTGGTAGAGCGAGAGAGAGTGAGGGTGGGAGAGAGTGTGTGAGAGCGAGGAAGAGAGAGAAAGAGTGAGAGAGTAAGAGAGGGACTTGGCCAAAGAAAGGAGCTGATCAACCACGTTATTTCTCTACCTTTAAAATGAAACAACCTCCGTGCGAGCAAGCGGTGACTAAGTAAATAAATTAAAGTTGGCTATGTAAAAATGCCACAACTATTTAAAAAACCCAAAAAATAAAATAACAACACGAAAAATTTGAAAGAAACTTTAAGAAGTTGTGTCACGATTCTAGTATCAAAAACTTTAAAAAACCCCGCACCTCTTCCGGATCACAGGCATTTGACACGGTTCGCATCTGGCATCCCTTATAATCTTTTCGCGGATTTGGATAGGAATTGGCGTTCCAGGTATTCGCCGCAGAGCAAATACAAAATAATACAGTAAATACCGAGATTAACAGCATGATCAGCACCGAATTAGCACCTCGGAACTTTCCGGGGGCAGTTGTTCCAAATTGGGGGCAAAGCGGGACGGGGGAAAATGGTCGCGATAGTGGAGCGGTTAGGCTAAAATCGATAGCCCGACCGGACAAGAAAACAAATAACACTGTTCGGG